CTGGAGAAGAGTTTTTTTTATTTAGGCTCGATTTTTCTGCCAGGGCTAACGTATTAAACGGAATATTACCGACGCATGGGTACGTAAAACAATACATGCTTCTTTTCAGATAAACTTTATTTGTTATTCGCTAATTTAATTAACTGCGATGATTGTATTATAAAACACGTACGTATATAGTATGTGTATTTTAGATTGAATATGTGAGTTCTTTTAGATTGTCGTCTAATGATGTATGTTACATTAAATTATCTTCGTTAAATTAACAATCAGACTATTCAATAAATATTATCCATATTACCTCTAATAATGTTCAATAATACTTCAAGAAAACCCCAATCTTACAATGTTCATATTAAGACAATCGTTAAAAATATACGTTTTTTTATGATTTAAACAGACTTTTTTGCGAAACTCACATTATAAAAATTTTACTTCATTAAAACCTGTGTACATAATTTTTTTAGTTTAAAAAGTAATTTAATGCATTCAAGTAGTGTCAACATATATATAAAGCCTAACAGTTTAGAAAATGATTGACCTTTGCGCTATACCACAGCCAGCTGGATGTAGTAATACTTAACGTTAAACCTCGCCCGGTTAATTTTCGTGCTGTAAGCCAAGCAAGTACACAGTCACTTACTCAGATTCTTGTCCTTCAGTTTTTTTTTCGAATGTCTGCAACCATCTATTAATATAAGCAAAATTCTCTACGGATCTTATTCCGGATATGCCAAAAAAAAAGGAATTCTGAAATATCATTACGGGCAATTCTAACTGACAGATTAGTTTCAAAGTTGACACGTGGGCCAATACAGGAAGACAATGCGATCTGACATTAAATTTGACTCCATTAGATGCCTATATAATTTGTTATTAATTAAATAATACTGTGCCCAAATTAGAGGGCACACTAATCCAACCATTCTGCACTATTTTACACATATTTGTTATACGCATGTTCATTAGTTGTGCAATAAGTTTTAGTTAAGCAACTCTATTGTAAATAAATAAACCGGGAGTGATCTCCCCTAAACTTTCGGAATATAGACATGATTTTTAATTACTTAAACTTTTGAAAATAGAATAGAATCTTGTAGAAAAAAAAATAATTGCGCACCAAGCAAACGCCTAATAAAATGTGCATAATAGTGAGGAATATTAGTAGTACTTTATAAATTTATATGCGTTTTTGGAGAAATCAGAAATGGCGTAAATTACTTCTTCCGGTCAAAGGAAATTACTCAAAATGTGATAGAAGGTAGAGAAATAGATCTTTTCTTACATGTGAAATTTCCTTTATCTATCTTAAATAGTACTCGTTATAGGCTTTTGAAAAATTCAAAGTAAAAAAGTAACACTTCCGGTTATCGGAAATCGCTCAAAAGTTGATACTGATCTACGATTTTTATAAAATACTTATATATGAAATTTCATCAACCGAGCTGTAACGGTACTCAAGTTATCGTGTTTACACACAAACACACACATACAAATACACATACACACACACACATACGGACAATATTGCAAAACTACGTTTTTTCGACTCAAGGAGCCCTAATACGTCGAGATAAGCAAAAATCTCGATATTTTTTTGCACGATTATAAGACTTTCTCTATACTTCGTATATACGAGAAGGTAAAAATCTAAAGTAGAGCTTACTGAAAACAAATTCATAAAAACGTTTTAATAAAAAAGTGTTTATGTAATGATGTACTAATAAAGAAGAAAATAAATGATTTTCTTTAATTATCAAAAAATACCTATATCAAAATAACAAAAACTATATACATTTAGCTTGGTAGTTCGCCCTGCGGTACCGGATTATGAAGTCTGCATTACTCGCCACCCACGTGTCATATTCGTCGATGCAACAATCGACCTCTCGCCTCGTAACAATCGACCAGATATTTACAAAACTGATTTTATGATAACAGCATATTTTGGTCACATTTCGTTGTTTTTTGTGACAACTAGTATATTACAAAAAAAGGTCTTCATTCTTTAAAGACAAACGATAAACCGCTGGTACATTTCACAACTTTTTTTACAACAGTTAATAAACAAAGAATGCAGTTAATTCAGTAAATAAACATCCACCATTTGATATAGCACTTATACTTAAAGTGCGTGAATACACAAGATAAAATCACCGGAATAATACTGGATGCATTTCATTTTCTAACCTTTGCATACATATAGATGGTCACTCGAATATCCCATTTACCCCGATTTTACAGCCCTACATTCTACCACTCCAGTCAGTGAGCGATCTCCAAAAAGCATGCAAAATACAGTGATTGATCGCTCACGCATTCACTTCCAATGGCCAGGTATTCAACTATCACAAACGTTTCACTACAAATACAATTCCATATAAACAGTTTGGCACAGCATTTAACAAGTTTAAACAGTAGGGGTTTAAAAAAGATAATTCTGTAAACATACTTTCCGATACACAAATATAAAGAAGAAAACATAATTCAAGTTGTAATATAACTAATTTGGTTACATTATAAACGTATAATTATGTGTGCTAGATTACAAATCATCTTTAGTTTTTATTTTAAAAATAAATTACCCTTTCGAACCTAAAGGACAAGTGAAGTAGAGTCCACTTGCATCTGTGATCTCGACATATAAAAGGATAAAGTGATCAGCTCTTTGTCAAGCCAATATTACCTTCTTTATCGCGAGACAGGTACCCATAAGGCCAGGGCGGACTTGGAGGCGTGAATTGGACTCGAGACTAAAGCGCTAGCAACAGTTTGCTCTAGGAATTTTTTAAAAAGTTGTTATAAATCAGCATACTCCTTCATAGTTTTTCTATTTGTTTATGTGTGTATGTACGTGTGTAATATATATATATATATATATATATATATATATATATATATATATATATATATATATATATATATATATATATATATATATATATGTGTGTGTGTGTGTGTTTTCGTATACATAATGCTTTAACCGTCTGCCATAAAAAAATGTCTAACACTCTTAAGTCTACATTCCGTGTAGGTCTTATCGTCTGGGTTTCTGTGTTTATACCAGCAGGTGGTCTAGATTCAGATCACGTGACACAACTATTTATGGATGGAGCGTCATACACAGTGTCATACACACGAGTGTAGTGAATCATTCGGTTGTTGAAGTTGATGAAGACGAAAGCCTTAATAGGGTTTAGGGGAATTTATTTTAAAGCGTCTAATCTAAGTTGTTTTTTTTAATCCCATATAAAATAAATTGCTGCATGTCCATGGTGAACATAATAGAAATCGATATTGAGACAAATTTAATTTAATAAAAAAAATGTTTTGAAATGGCATATAATAATTAGATTGTAAACGCATTTTAAAAAATAAATAAAAATTTTCTACTTAAAAGCATTCATTTGGTCGCCAAATGCAAAAGAGATTTCACCGATGATCCCCTAAGCCGCTTGGTGAAGTAGTAGACCAAAAACTCCCGGTCAATAACCCCCGGTCACTAAGATCCGGACATACCTTTCGATGTAAGTCACATGGTGTGCCGCAATTAGAAAAAGACAAATCAAAGAAATCTAGAAAACCTTTATAGCAACAAGCTTTTAAATGCACTATAAATAAAAGAAAAAAAAATTTCCTTGTGTATAATGTATATTATTTATATGTTTAATAAATCTTTAGTTTGTATAGCCCTAGAACTCGTTTGTCTTTGTTTATACTGAACTTTGTTAGTTTATTGCCGCTTATCAACTACTGAAATTTTAACCGTTATACACACCATGTTCCCGCATGGCAATATACCTATAAAAGCAATATCCCATAACTTTTTTTTCACAAATTATCCATATAGAAGTGATCTATGATCTATACAAAACATAAAAACAGCATATGAACATGTTTGCATGTTCAAATAAACCGGGAGTGATCTCCCCTAAACTTTCTCGAATATTTTTATACAAAATAACAGGGGATGGGAACTCGGGCTATAGACATGATTTTTAATGCATTTTAAATACTTTTTTTAAAAAAATAGAATAAAATCTCTTAGACAAATTAATTGCACACCAAGTGAACGCGAAATAAAAAAGCGCATAATAGTGCGCAATATTATTAGTACTTTTAAAATTTACATTAGTTTTTTGAGAAATCGGAAGTAGCGTAAATTACTACTTCCGGTCAACGGAAATTACTCAAAATTTAACAGAAGGTAGAGAATTAGATCTTTTACTTACATGTGAAATTTCATTTATCTATCTGAAATAGTACTCAAGTTATAGGCTTTTGAAAAATTCAAAGTAGAAAAAGTACCACTTCCGGTTATCGGAAATCGCTCAAAAGTTTATACGGATCTACGATTTTGATATAATACTTATATATGAAATTTCATCAACCTAGCTTGAACGGTACTCAAGTTATCGTGTTTACACACACACACACACACAGACACACACCGTTTTTAATATAAAACTGATTAGCCTATACCTTAATTCATATGTTTATCAAATCTGTTTACTTATGTTAGATTGAAGAAATAAGCAAGCAGTTTTTTTCAAGATCGGTGTTTTTAGTATAATTTTTCTTTCACGTCAATAATTGGCCTAGTGGGCTATAAGACTGATGAAGTAGAGTGAATCTCTTTATACTGTGACATTAGCACATGCCGGTACAAAGTATAAGATGTATGCCTTTACTTACTAAGCAATAAGCACTGGTTCAGTGTTTCTTCCAGATTTTTTTTTCCGGAAGAGGGGGTACTTGAAACTTTCGGGTAGGGCCTGACTTAATTTTTCTTTGTTGGGGGGGTATATTATATATAAATATATAAATATATATATATATATATATATATATATATATATATATATATATATATATATATATATATATATATATATATATATAATTCATATTTTTATAATCATTTGTGTTTTCGCACATTTATATGAGTAAGCAAATAGTTTATAATACAATATCACTTGAAATTATATTAAGAACTTTGCCAATTACATCCTTGGGAGAAATATTTAGATGGAATCTCGAGAAGCTCCACAAGAAACATCTGCCGATTGTATCGCAAAACCTTCTACATCAAGTGAACAAAGTTTACATGAAGATAAAGATTCTATGAATTCGGGTAACAATTTATACACAAAATATGTAATGTTCAAGAAATATATGTAAATATATATTAATATCTGTATTGATATATGCATAGATGTATATTTGTTTATATATATATATATATATATATATATATATATATATATATATATATATATATATATATATATATATATATATATATGCAAATATATAAGGCTCTTAGTTTAGAATGTATAAGTTGCTTTAATATATTTACCAAAGGAACCAGATATATATTTTTATCATAATATGGACGTACTGTTTGAAATTGCTGTTCTAATTAAACATAATTGCGGCGACTTTAAGTTAATAATGCGCCTGTTCTCAATAATAAAATCATAGCTGTTAATTTCTCCGTTAAAGTAAAGAAAAAATGCGTTTTAATACTTTTTAAATCGAAATATACTTGATCGTGTTTAATTAATCGATAGCTCATTGAAATAATTTTAACAGCAGACAGACTTTTATATATGCATCGAGCTTCGTCATGTGGAATGGCCTACACTACCTTAGACTGTTGTTCCGCGTGAAAATACTCAGGTTTTGTGTATTATTTGATGTAAAATTAAACATTAATGAAGACCACATTTTTTGACTTATCAGAATTTGAATCACTATGTTAAAATAATACATACCGTTTTTCCCACCAATACCTGTTTACGAGAGTTAACTAATTGAATCGAATCGCAATTCTTGACCGTTTGTTCATTCGACATCGAATGCTTGCATTTTTTAAAATCAAACTACACTCGCGCTTACACACACAAAAACACACATATATCTTTATACATAATTGTATAAATACACACACACACACACACACACACACACATATATATATATATATATATATATATATATATATATATATATATATATATATATATATATATATATATATATATATATAATTCAATTCTGTATTTGACATCTAACAGCAGACTGTGGACCCATGACTACAAAGAAATATAATAAAAAAGACTTGATCGCCGAAGTGTTATATATCTAAAGTACTTATCGTCTTAATCAATTGTTACAAAACCTGAAAATTGAATGAGTTGTAAAACAAATTTCATTTTCAACTTTGCAGTATCAATTGACGGCTTGTGCGTTAAACAAAATTAAAGAAAATGTATCACCCTTCTCAAAAATTCTAATTTTGTTTGAAAATTAATTACATTTAGGCCTTTAGCACTCATTACGTCCCTTGATAAAATAGGAAAACACAACTACTTCCCTTTTAAAAAAACATTACATCGGAGGGGGGAATTTACTTTTTCTACTTTGTGTTATGTAAAACAGGGATTTTAAATACTGCCTTTTATTTATTTTATACACTGAACATACTGTTTACTTAGTATTATTTTTATTTTTTATCATCTAAACATTCATTAATATTCAAGATTGTTAAGGAAAATTATTTTCAATTGAGATCTAATTGATTCAACCATATAACATTTGAAAATGTTTGACTTTTCACCCCAAGCATGTAACTTTTTGACCCCGCACAAGTCTTTCATGTGCATACCGTGACCAGCTTTTTTAAACGGCTCTGCATACTGTTATCTGTAGTGTAGAATTAGTATCTGCTGCATTTGTAGTGTTAAAGGTTTACAATTCTTGACTCTAGATAATGCACAATGAAATGTGTGACTTTTCTCCCCTCTTCCTCTATAACATTATTATTGTATTTTCTTTCAGCACATCGTTATGAACGTGGTAAGTAGAAAATATTTCCAAAAAAATATAATTCGCCTTTTTATAACTATTTTATATTTTTTTTATAAAACATTGGTCGCTAAATATGTAATAGATCTAATTGGTAACCAAGTCTATTATTTTAAAATTTAATGTTAAATAACCAAAATAAAAATATAAACATCTTTATTTTTAAAAACCCTAGTATTTATTACTCAATTTAACTGCTATAAAGGTACGATTTTATTCAGATCAAATACATGATTTTCGGATAAGATATAAACACCCTACTTTGCTGTCGTTGTCGTTTATAGTACAATTCGCGAAAAATTGGGAAAAAATAAGATATTCCAATAAATTATAACTTTTTTGTAAGAGGCTATTCTGTTTGTTTTTTTTTCTTGTTTTTTTAAATGTTCATACATAGCTTAGTGTTGTTTTTACATTTTTGGCCTCGATAATTTCAACTGTAGTGTTTTAGTAGCTTCCACCTTCTATTAAAAAATATATTTCGGGTTAACTTATACTGTGCAATTGGGTGGTAAGCCTCAATGTAGAAAATAAATCTGTGGCAAAGTGGTTAAAGTGAAATGCAATTTTAAAATCAATGTTATAGGTAAAACACTTAAATTAAAATCCAAATTAAAATGAATATCTAAAGATATTAAATATTACTAACATCGATTTTGAAATATTTCTTTTATTTACGCTACCTATGAAAACCAAATCATCCTGGAAAAGTCATGTAGAAAAATTGTGATAAATAGAGAATGGGGAGGCTGTATTATAAGTGCTCGATTTTACTAAAAACAAATTAGTTCAATTGGTTTACACCATCTGAATCTTTCGTATCTAGAGGCAATTTATTAAACATAAATTACAAATTTAGTTTAGTACTAACGCATAGGCCTACATTTCGGAAATATAAAAACTTTTAATACAAGTTTAAGAAGAAGATTAACTATGTTTGTGTTTGAATTTTCTCTTAGATCCAGTATGTTTGGTATTTATTTCCTTGAATTGCAGAGAGCTGTTCTTTTGAATGCTATAAGTCGTAAAGTGTTAATATTATTTACATTTTTAACAACGTTAATACTGTTGCTTTTTTGTTTTAGCAGCAAGTAAAACTGGTAAGTAGAAAACTAATTTCCAAAAATATAATTGTCTTAAAATTGTATTGATATAATTTATCAATTTATCTTTAAAACAAAGTGGTTGGTTAACAGATCGGGCACTTCCCGGCGCCACAAACGTTTAAAATTTGGCAGGTCCCTGCCTCGGGCCGAGAAATTACGACGGCCGAAACCTATCGGCCACAAAGTCCACGAAGATGTGGTCAAAACTAACATCGAATGAGCGGCGCCTTATAAGAGCTTTTTATCGAAAAAAAAATTCCCAAGTAGGAACCTCGTCATAACCATGAAGTCGTAGACCGACCCTCGGGGGAATCAAAAATCTATGATACCTTTGGCAAATATTCCGAAGGTATTAAGGACTGATAGATACACATTTCCTAATAAAATATTGTTAATTTGGTGAAAAAGATGATTTTTTTCAATACATTTTTGAGGTTACTTTCGCTCTGTACATCTGGCATATGTTTCTTTTGACCTAGGTACATGAATTGACCTTAATGATAAACAATCGGTCAGTATATTCTCTCATGGCAAGGGCTAAAGTGTGACCGAGAGTGAAATTTTTATTATATGAGCTTTATATTGAAAAGAAATTCCCACGTATGGGTGTCAGAAAAAACGCGCCATTTTTTTTTTAATATGTAAATCGGTCAAAAATGACCAGTTGTAATTCTCCATATATTAGCTTTATGATCTATGTGAAAAACAGAGGGTATTTTCAACAAAGAATTTCTGCCGTTAGGAAAAACTTTCGATTGAGACTGTAAGCCTACTATGCACTCGTCGTTTCCTTTGTAGGGTCAGCCTTGCTGCGGGTCCTTAGTCATCCGAGCAACAGATTGTGTTTAATAAATAAAATGTGTACAACAAGCCAACCAGTTTTTAACAGATAGTAAATAAGAACTACCGTATTTCTCTAAATGGCACTTAATTTTTGGAAATTCAGAATCCATGTATCTCCAAATGTTCTTACTGTATTGTACAATTAATAAAGTAATTGTTAATTTGATGAAACAAATGGTTACAATCCGTTCTATGTGTATTTCCACATAAAAATGAAATATGCATTGCAAGTTTTATTAATTGTTTTTATTAATTGTAACCGTGCAAAAAATTAAAATCTAAATTTACTGCTTAAATCATGCGATATTTTAACATCAAATTTTCATCAAATTTTAATATCATTAAACTATCACTTACTTTTAAACAGACATTAAAGTTTTAAATAGTTTAGCAAAAATAAGTCTCAAGTCTTGATTAAAACATTATTAGAGAATATACGTGTATTGTTATTGTGTGTAACGATAAAGTTATTCGGGTTAATTAAAGCATATGATAATATGACAATATTATAATGACCAGCCATTTATACTATCGCTTGTTTAAACAAGTAAAACATAGTTAAATAGTCATCTATAAAAAAAATAACAAAATACAATGTGTATTTTAATATAGTGTGAAATACGTTTAAAAACATATGTAGGTCTAATAGTATTTTCAACCATGGTGAAATGCTTTGTACTTTTCTTTTAAAACGTTCTTTGATTATGAAAAATGTTTTAACATAAAATTACTAGTGATTATTTAGTTTTTCCGTAGGACACACTAACGTGTATTAAGAAAACTAGTCTTAATACTATTTAAATATTAAAATATATTGTATTTGTGTATTAACTATCAGCAGTTAATTTGGTGGTTACTCAGTCTAATTTATATCAATTTGCATTTATTAAATATTTATCACGCATAAATACTAATCGGTCTCTCAGCATTTTATTTGTTTAATTCATAACCAGCGTAATGTAAATAATTGCTAAATCATGTTTATCTTGTATTTAAAGCGCTGTTTCTTTTTTTTTTACAGAATATAAAGTTGATTATAGTATTGTTATTACAGAATATTCCGTGTCCGATAGTTCTGGTATGTATTTATGTTTTTATATTTTTTGGACACCTAAATTTCGTATAATTTTTATTATCTTCACGAATGTTCTTTTAATAAAAATATTATAAGTCTACAATATATAAATGAAAATCAGTGTTAAGCAATGTATAATCTTTTTATTTTTAATTTTAACTTGTACCCATTATTGAATATTTTTGTGTTGTGCTTTTAAAGATGACGACTTCGATGAAAGTTACGGTATTTATTTATGATAATGTCGATCTAAACATTAAACATAATTTTAATGCCATATGCAAAAACCTTTTATAATAAGTTAAGATCACGTTTATGCTCTATATATCACTGAAAATTATTACTCAAGAAGACATATAATAATAAACTTTATTTGTAATCATAGCTTTATTTTAAAGGTCCATCTGCAAATTAAATTTCTAATTGTGTTCTATAATTTTGGTATTGTAATTACTAAAAATTTCATAACGTTTCAACAGTACAATAATTCTGGGTTGGTCTAAAATAAAATTATACAAAGGCATTCAATTGAAAGTTTAAATTGGTACTTTCGAATTTCTAATAATTAGTATTTATCTAGCACAGTTAGTGTAATATTAAATGTACACGTAATAATTGCTTCGATTATATTTTCTTAAACAGATCACGAGGTGTTGGAATGTGAACCAGGAGAAAGTGAAGCAGATTTGCCACGACATTGGAGAATTTGTAGTAAAAATCCCAGACACACAGGGTTTATACCTGTTAAGGAGTTGAGTCTCGTACATGCCACTGTTACAAATAAGGTTAATGAGCTAGTCTCCGTGATAAACATTGTTGCTGATCTCACTGTCAGAATAGCTGTCTACTTCACAAGTTCTGCAAGGCCAAGTGTTATTGAAGGGACAGATGTCCCCTACCCTTGCGCCAGTTTACGAGGTAAAAAATCTCTGAGAATTGGGACAGGGATGATAGTTGGGGTCTCGAAATACCAGGAAGAAGACAAAATCACCTGTCAGTGTAAGGTGTGTAAAGTTTCAGACACTCCTCAAACCACCTGGTGGAGTGTGGGCGTAATGACAGCCACCCACGTGGTGTTTGACGACAGCGAGGCTGAGAGTGCCACATGCAGGCTGTTCTTTGACCAGGCGGACAGTCCAGTTGTGACGTTACATGGCTGGAGAATGTGGGACATGAGCATCAAGGGAGACACCTGCAGATTTTCTTGTGCCTCACATGACATGGAGTTGTACGAGAAAGTCCAGAAAATGTACAACAGTTACCTGTATTGTCCACACAAGTTTGAAGAAGGCGTGTCTTTTATTGTATCACATCCACACGGCTGCTCTAAGCAAGTCTCCGTAGGAAAATACAAACAAAAACATATAAAGCACTTACAACTATGGTACAACGCAACAAAATACAGCTATGATTTAAGTACATGTCCAGGAAGTAGCGGGGCTTATGTGTTCACTAGTGAACACTTGCTTGTGCCTCACGTACACAGTGGATGTAAAAATGGCGTTAATCGTAGTGGGGAAGGATTTCAGGAGAAATAGTGTCATTAATATACTTAAATGGCCAATAATTTATCATTTTCCTAATTAACTAATAAGTAATTCCTAGTCTCAGTCATAGCTCAGACATGACAATTACGTTTTAAAAATTAAAACACTGTTACATATTTCGAGGAAAAAAACAAACTGTATTAGTTATCAAATTATTTATCTAAGTTACTAATATTGATTATTACTAAGTCATCAAGGAATTAAGACATCGAGTATCCAAATTAATTTTTATTTAACAAATAATATGTGATTGTTTTTTAAAGTATTATTATAATTGTTTTATTATACATTTTTTATGTTAAAACTATTTGGATCGCTTTTATGCAATAAAATAAAATTCTTTCTTCAGATTGTTTTAAATTAAAAAATCCATAAATACAAATTATTAGTCTAAATCATGCTGCGTGCTTTATTATCAATAATGAATTACTTACATAGTTTTACCGAATAAGTTCTGATATTTTTTTAATTAACTCCATTTTTTAAAATCATTTTTAAATTTTTAAATTACATTTAAAACTAATACTTAGGTGAGGCATTTTGATACTATTCACAATGACAAACATACTGATTTGCCCAAGCTTTTGTTGTTTTTTCAATAAACATTTGTTATTTAATTTTTAATAATGTTTATTTTTTTAAAGGCGTAAATTCTTTAAAAAAAACGAGTTGCCTTATAAGGAAATAATTATATTTGAATAAGTTATTTTGCACCTTGCTTCTATAAGCATATCACAACATCAAATCTACAATACCAATGTATTGAATAAAATAGCTTAAATGTATAGATAGAAGATCTCAAAGACAAAATATTCCAGATAAAATATCAATGAGCTATTCACAAATAATTAGCATATTAAACTTACAATGTAAATCCTCTTATGAGTAAAAAAAACCGCACTTCACAGTTGTAACGGAAGTGCGTGTTTACATTGGATTGAAGCAATATTTGTTATTAACCTTAATTTAATTAAAAAGCTATTTCATAATGATCAGTAAAATGTATTGTCATTTGTATTCAATTGTTTTGTGTGTAAAAGAAAAAAAGTGAGAAATTATAATATATGACATTTAGGTAAAATAACATTATTTTAATAGGATTTAAACTGTTTACTGTTAAATTGGCCTACGTTGCAACACATTACAATATAAGCGACACATGATTTGAAAAAAAGTCCAAGGCACACGGTGCTTTCAATCAAATAGAAATTTCAGTTTGGCAAATGTATCTTAGTCATTTAATTGTGTCAATATATGTTCTATAAGAGCGTGATGCGATTAATTATGTGAGACGTCATAGCAAATATTGATTGTAATAAAAACAATAATTGTTGGTTCACTTATTGATAAGTTGGATGACGCAAAATTAGGCTAGTTAAGAAATAGGTTAAAGGGAAATAAGAAAATGTAGAAGCTAAGAACTAGCTTACTCCAGCTAGATATTGGTCAATCAGAACCAATAGAATTGCATTGGAAGTAACTGACTAGTCACCTGTTATAGTCAGCTGACGAAACGTCAGGAGTTAGCAAATAGTATACGTTTAGCAGCAGTTGGTCAGTAATGGAGAGTATAAGAAAGATTTAAATGTTGTTAGTACTAGGAAATAATTTTGTGAGAAGAAGTAATATATACATATATATATATATATATACATATATATATATATATATATATATATATATATATATATATATATATATATATAGAGAGAGAGAGAGAGAGAGAGAGAGAGAGAGAGAGAGAGCGAGAGATAAATTGGGAGAGAAAGCGTGTGTCTGTGTGTGAGCATATGTATTTAAATATGTGTCTGAATTTCTATACTAGTGCTGACTAAACTTCTGTAATATTAGTGTAGCTTAGTGTACTTGGTCTAGAATGTTTGTTCTTTGCTTACGGTTGTCTAAAAAAGTATTCATGCCTCGACGTAGGACAAGGAATATAACCCACGAAGTCGTAAGAAAAACAAAAATTATTTGGGTTATTATGTAGTAATTAAATTAACTGATATAATATGATTATAAAACAGCATTGAATTATTTGCGTATCTTTTGAGCTTGAATCGTTGTGTGTCTAGGTCAGCCGTGTTGCGTTCTCTTCAGATGCGGGTAATCGAGTGTAATGTCATGCTCCAGTTTTTGGAAGAAGGCCAGCTGATTGTGTGGGGGTGATGTGGGAAGTGTTAGGTGTAATGTCATGCTCCAGTTTTTGGAAGAAGGCCAGCTGATTGTGTGGGGGTGATGTGGGAAGTGTTAGGTGTAATGTCATGCTTCAGTTTTTGGAAGAAGGCCAGCTGATTGTGTGGGGGTGATGTGGGAATTGTTAGGTGTAATGTCATGCTCCAGTTTTTGGAAGAATGCCAGCTGATTGTGTGGGGGTGATGTGGGAAGTGTTAGGTGTAATGTCATGCTCCAGTTTTTTGAAGAAGGCCAGCTGATTGTGTGGGGGTGATGTGGGATGTGTTAGGTGTAATGTCGTGCTCTACTTTTTTAGAAGGTGAAATTTAACTCAAGGGATGAGGGAGTGGTTTTAGACTTGAGGGGTAGGCGGGCGAGGGAGCTTGCAATAATATGATTATGGCTGTTTAAACCGTAGTTTCTTATTGGCAATTATTTACTTCACGCTTCCCTCAAGTTCTATAGCCACACGTGTTAATAAGTTAAATTTAGCACAATTTAGTATTTCATACCAAAGGACTAATGTAGTCTGATTAGTATTTTGTAGAATTAACGTTTCACTAACTTTTATTTTTTATCTTGGCATATTTAATGATAGCAACACATTCAACATGTTTTAAGAGAAGATGTTTAAAAAACATTGTGTAAACATAGTTTCTCACACACAAAAATAAAGTAGGAAACATTTGAAGTTGCAACAAAACTAATTTGGTTACATTATAAACGTATTATGGCATTTGTTAGGCTTCAAATTAACTTTAGTTTTTTAAATAAAATTACCCTTTCGAACCCAACGGTCCGTAAAGCGGGTGAAGTAGAGTCCCCTTGTTTCAGTGATCTCGGCATATGAATGGATGTAATGATCAACACTTTATGCAGTCGGTTTTTACTTTCTCTAACGTGAGTCAGGTACTCATAAGCTCTGGGTAGACTCAGGATACAGAGTTGGGTACGTAATCCGAACTTGAGACTTTAGAGTTATCAGACATATAACCTACATTATTTTTTTTTAAATATGTATACTTCTGCATACCCTTTTGTATTTAATTTCTGTGTTTATATGTATAATGTCTGTGTATGTGTGTGTTATATGTGTATGTAAGTATACCCAAACCTTTAAAAGCCTGCCATTTATAAAATATTGTCTGACATTCTGTTTAGGTCTTTTTTCCTGGGTTTTTACCTAGAGGTACTATATATCCGAATTACGTGGCGCAACTATTTATAGATGGAGCTAAAAATGTTTGCAGGATGTAAATTGGAAATTCCATCATGAGGAATTTCGCTGTTACGTTATTGTGGGTCTGTGTGTGTGTGTGAGAGAGAGAGAGAGAGAGAGAGAGAGAGAGAGAGAGAGAGAGAGAGAGAGAAAGAGAGAGAGAGAATGTAACTGTTTGTATGTGTATGTAGATGGTTTGTTGATAATATTAAATGACTGTTGTTTTCTTCTTTTTGATTGCTCTTAACAATTAACCTTTCTGTATAAGTTTGTCGCACGTAATGTAATGACATGGAGTATAGACAGAAGAATGCCATACATTCATGTCCCGCCAACACTTATTCATCCACATACACTCAGAGATTATAATTGTAGGTCACCTAGTTTTTACAAATGTAAAGGTGATGCCAAGCGGAACCAGGTCTAAAGTTTCTACACACCAGTGTCGTGAATCATTCGGCTGTTGAAGTCGCTGAAGACGGAAGCTTTAGTAGGAATAGGGGGAACCTTTCGATAAAGTACCTTTACTAGTAAGTTATTTGTTTATTCACTAATTTAAATCATTAAACATGATAGAAATTGATTTTGTTACTTTTAATAACAAATTAAAAATGTAAAAAATGGTTTTGATTCAAATATAAATTTTACAGTTATAATTGTGATGTTAAATTAGCTATATTGTAAAGCTCTGTATTGTTTAGTATTAGCAGGGGGTTAAGAAAAGGAAAGATTTTATAATTATTATATTATTATCTGTGTAATGATACGTTTTAGTATATAATCTAACTTAACTTACATCCCTGAAAGAAATACCAAAAATGGAAGATCTGGAACATACTAAAGACGAGTCATGCGATATTATCGAAGAGTCTTCGACATCAAGAGGAAAATGTTTAAATGAAGATAACAACGCTACACAATCGGGTAAAGTAAACTATACACAGATATATTTTTAATAACAGTATGTTAATATGTTTAGGCATATATATATATATATATATATATATATATATATATATATATATATATATATATATATATATTTCGAATGCTTTTTGACATTGGACTGTTTGTTCTGCCAACTTCCTTTATATCCAATGACCATTTCATCAACAGATACATTTAGACCGGGGTAAAATGCATTTTGGATTGATGCCACCAGGTTGTTTAGAAAAGGCTAAATCTTATCTTGCGGTTCTTGCCCATACAAACGTGTGGAATGTTGGGCTTCTTTTAGAGACCAGTAGCTTTTTATTGAAGGCCTAGGGTTTAGGCACATAGCTATCAAAGTAGCAAAAAATGTCAACAACGCTGTTCTTGTTATTGGTTGAAATTTGAAGTAGACTAAATGCCTCAATAATAACTAAATAGTAGCAGGACCACTGTCAATTACATGCTCATCTAGTCCTGTTACATTAGTATTAGCACTATTAGAGCTAGCAGTGTTAATACCAGCTGTCGTTTCTCTAGTCATAGGCCCCTTACCCTTCCCTACATAGGGTTTGCCACGCCCACTTGTGGAATCACAATCGCTATAACCACTATTACTAACACTCTTACTGTAATTGCTTGGGGGTCATCCATAAATGACGTCACGCATTTTTTTACCTCCCCCCTCCCACCGTCACACATCGTCACAAAAAACCAGACCCCCCCCCCCAAATGACGTCACACCTCAGCCGATAACCCCCCCCCCCCCTCCCCCTCTCAAGATAGTGGCTGTATTATTGTATAAATGTTCGTATACATTTAAAAAACTGTTTTATGCTTCATTATAAAATTATGTAATAATTCTTTTTATTCAAGCAGGAGTATTAAGTTAACATTTTAGAATTTACCATAAACGTTTGTTCTTATTTATTAATAGATAAGGAAATAGTAATAATTGGTGCCTATATTTTTATACAATCCTACGCTCTTCGGAAACATTTTACATTTAATCATCATTGAATCTATGTCCCCTCTTCATTGTTCAACAACACTTAATAGTGTGAACTCAATATCTGAAATATATTTCTAAACAGCTACCTTCGAATTTTATTTTAATTTCATATAGAATTTGCTAAAATTCGAAATAAACATATGGAACCTAGCTCGAAAATATTCTAATGATCTTTAAGAATGTCTAGTATAAATGGAAAATCATATATCATTAATCGTAATTTTTTTCTTTTTAGGTACAAAATATCACGTTATAAAATCGGATACTAGTGGCTATTTTGGTCCATATGGGGTTGTGTCCGGTAAACTTATTATTATTTCTGCCTTAATAATTGTCTTATGTGTATTACATATCAATGTGCATTCTTATTCTTATGCTTGTTCGTGTTTGTTTGCGTTTAAAAGCGATTGTCCAACAATGTGTGTTTTTAATGTTGCTAATAATATTACTAAAACCGACACCATCAGTGCAATATCGCCCATCTAAGCCTTAATAAACTTAATATGTAAATTCTTAAATTAATTAGCAAAACTAAATTGTAGAGCCTCTTACTATCTCAAACTTATACAATATACTATCGCTTAAGAACCGTTTTTGCGCAGTGCTTATGTATTAATTTGAAACAAGAAAATAAGTTCTAAGTGTGTATCCTTTATATTGTAGGTGCTCCATCTATTCGTAAGTATTATTATATTTACTTATAAATACACATTTAACTTTAAAGTAGATCAGTATTCAGAATTGCGTACGAAACTATTTTTTTCCATCTCTTTTAAAATTATATCCAAAGTAGTTTAAAACAAAATTATTTAATCACCGTGTACACTGCCCATTATCTGCGAGCCTAAAATGTTTGTACAAACTTAGGCTTAAAATAATTGCTTATTAATTAATTAATTAATTACTTTGTTTCAGCATCTCGTAAGTATTACATTTTTATCAGCATTTCTTTTCAAACTTTCAATTATGAATTGTTATAATGCATTATATGTAACTACAATTTTAACCATCAAGGGAAAATTACATTTAAAACTTATAAACCACAAAGTCTATGCATAAAATGGAGAAAAAAAAAAGCGAATGGATTTAAGTTTTTAGATTCAGCTAAATCAAACAAACACAAGCATATAATTGATTTAGACAAATTAGTTCAAAGTGTATTTCCTTTATATTGTAGGTGCTCAATCTATTCGTAAGTACTATTATATTTACTTATAAATGCACATTTAACTTTAAAGTAGATCAGTATTCAGTATTACGTACAAACATATTTTTTTCCATCTTTTTTAACATTATATCCAAAGTAATTTAAAACTAAAATTTTTAATCATTGTGTACAGTGTCCATTATCTGCTAGCCTAAAAAAATTTACAAACCGATTTTATAAGTCAATGTTGCATTATTAATTATATATAAATTTTAAGATTTTTTATTTAAATTCCCATTACCAAGTTGTAAATATCATAATAAACTTTCTTTTAATATAAAAAATTTGAGTAGTGGTAAGTTTGGTTTAAAATCGTTTACATGTTATACGTGGTACTCAGAGCTTCTGTTCAAAATACACAGGAAAATAGTACTGTTTACAGCACACTCAGGTTCTTTCTGAATTCATAGGTCATGATTTATGATTGATTATTATGAGAGAATAGCATGCTAAAGGTACATCCTTGTTTCATTACAGGTCCTCTGCCTTTTCGTCGTGAGTATTATCATCTTTTTTTAAAAACACACATACACCATAATGGTCGAGATTCAGTATTAAAATAAAAGTTAAAATTTCTTTTTAGATCGAATTATTCTTTTGGGCAGATGAAGTAGAGTTCAAATGTTTCTTTACCTCAGCATATGAGGTCACGATGTGGTCAAAAATATTGTTTTCCCTAACGTAAATAAGGTACACATCAGAACTGGGTAGACTCAGTGACGTCCTACAGTCACAAGTCCAATCGATATCCGGACTCAAGTTCTTTGTGCTAGCAGTCAAACGCTCTACACATCAACCACGCCCTCCCACATTTTCTTCATTTAGAGTAAAGAGGAGAGGAGTGGAAAGAGATGAATGTTTTGATATTTTTAAAAAAAATATTTCATTTTTAATAAATAAAAGGTGATGTTGGCGGCGGTGTCTTAACATTCTTTTGATGAATGTTTTGAACACTCTATTTAGCCGACGTGTTGCGGTAGTTATATAGAGCTTATGACGCGGTGTAGGCGGTGCGGCGTCTCGCAACATTGAACAGAGGGCTTGTGTTTGATCTATCTTGTTATGCTTAACTTGTGTAGTGATAATTTCACAAAAGAACGAGCCGCAGTCTAGGTTGCGAATTTAAAAACTGAACTTTCTCAAATATGTTTGATCTTCGTTTTATGCACCTTGTTTAGAAAAATTAATTAAAGCATTACTTAATAAAGAAAGTAAAATGCATTTTGAAATCCTTAGATAAGCGAAAATGGTAGTTTTGTCTTATTTCATATATGAAACGGCCTTCGGGCAAGTGTCCATTCGGGGATTTGTCGCATTCAGGCAAGTGTCTATTCGGGAAATCGGCCTTCGAGCAAACAGCATTTGGGCAAGTGTCCATTCGGCATTTGCCCCATTCGGGCATTTGTCGCATTCGGGCAAGTGTCCATTCGGGTAATCGGCCTTCGGGCAAACAGCATTTGGGCAAGTGTCCATTCGGCATTTGCCCCATTCGGGCATTTGTCGCATTCGGGCAAGTGTCCATTCGAGTAATCGGCCTTCGTGCAATAGTCTTACGGTAATTTGTCGTAGACCCGTTTGTGAGTGTGTGTAATTACAACGTGAGTGTGCGGTGGCGTGTGTGCGCGTGCGTATGATTTAAATAATTTTAAATAACTATATATTTTATTATATACAACGGATGTATGTGTTTGTATTTATCGTACGTGTTTGGCGTGGCTGTTAGTTTAACATAACGTTTTACAATTCTTTTTTCTTTTCCTTATTCTTTACTAGAAAATAATTTTTAGTGACTTTCTTCTTTTTACAACGCTACACTTATCAGGACAATCTAAACACTTTATTGAAATTTAAAATATTCATACCCTCGGTCAAATGTCAAGTTAGTTTAATTCATATTAATTATATTAATCTTTGGTATTCTGTTTTGCGGAAAATATATTTTTTTCAATAAAAGTGCATTTTACTAAACATGTGAGGCTTTAGCAATTGGTGATTGTGCAGCTTATCGCGTTTTGAATGCAGGGTGTTGTGTTTGCCGTAGCGTAGCGAGGGGGGCTGCGGCGGGGACATATGTTCCCAAGCGCCGACCTTGGGGGGGGGGGGGCAAAATGGGTTGGAAAAACAAATTGAAAGTTAGAGAGGGGGGTGCGAGGGGTGGGGGGGTGTGCAAATCGAAAGTTTGTCCCCGGGCGCCGAGAAGGGTCGCTACGCCTCTGCGTGTTTGTTATGAAAGCAAAAGTTTTTTTTTTTGAAAAAATTGCTGAGTGTCAATTAATGATTAATGGTTTCTAGAATATTAAATTCAAACAGCTATATTAACCTAAGTCTTACTTCCTCTTTTTGTTTTACAAACAGGCCTAAATACACATTTAATGTATTCAGATTTCAACACTGGAGAATGGAAAAGCATAATTGGTAAATATTTAGGTTTACTTTTAAAATAGGTTAAAATAGATGTTAAACTAAAACAAAAAAATTAATACAAAAATGACAAGTTACTGAACTATCGATAAAAATAACTGCATTTCCCTAATAACCATACGAAAGAAAACCTAAAATACATTGCTTAATAAGCACTGTGGATTGTATACCACAATAAATATATATAGCATCCATTATTCTAGGAACCAAACAAGTGTCAGTAAGTAATAAAGTTCTACATTAATCATTTCACAATTACGTTAATCCTATTCTTAATGGGTTTTTCTCCACAGACTCACTTCAACACGAAGTTCAAGTGTGTCGTCCTTTTGAAACAGAAGAAAATTTATTCACACATTTCAAAACGTGTCAGAAAAATCCAGACCATGCGGGATTTATTCCAATCCATGATTTTAATGTTCGACATATAAAAATAACAAAAAAAGTGGAGGAGTTGTACAACATCATTCAGATAGCCGCTGATCTTACAGTAAGGATAGCTGTAACGTACACAAGCACAGCAAGACCTAAGTGTGTAGAAGGATCAGTTCATGAATATCCGTGTTCTAATCTAAGAGGGACAAATTGTCTGAGAACAGGGACAGGAACTATAGTTGGTGTGTCGAAATTTCAAGATGAGGACAAGAAAACTTGTCAGTGTAAGGGGTGTAAGGATTCAGATAATCCTCAAACCACCTGGTGGAGTGTGGGTGTGATGACAGCCACCCACGTGGTGTTTGACGACAGCGAGGCTGAGAGTGCCACATGCAGGCTGTTCTTTGACCAGGCGGACAGTCCAGTTGTGACGTTAGATGGCTGGAGAATGTGGGACATGAGCATCAAGGGAGACACCTGCAGATTTTTGTGTGCCTCACATGACATGGAATTGTACGAGAAAGTCCAACGCATCTTCAAAAGTTTTTTGTTCTATCCCAATAAGTTTGAAGAAGGCGTGTCGTTTATAGTGTCACATCCACATGGCTGCTCAAAACACGTCTCTGTAGGAAAATACAAACGAAAACATATCAAGCATTTGCGTCTGAATTACAACGCAACAAAATACAGCTATGATTTAAGTACATGTCCAGGAAGTAGCGGGGCTTATGTATTCACTAGTGAAAACCTGCTGGTACCTCACGTACACAGTGGATGTAGAAATGGCATCAATTACAGTGGGGAAGGATTTCAAGAAAAGTACTCAGACTTACACCAGTTAAAATTTCATAGCACTCCCCCCCTCCCCCTTCCCCCCCCTTCCCCCCGCCCCCGCCTTCACCTAAGATATCTAGATATTAATAATATCTCGCAGCTTTAGAAATATTAGTAGCCTACATAGGTAATTGCATACTACATAAACTGAATTAAATTAAAAAAAATGTAATTTGCAATCAATAGATGTGTGCACATATAAAAAAAAATACAGTTCCTAATAATTTATCTCATAATTTTCTTTCACTAACATATGTGTTATTACCCGCTAAATTGGACATTCGTCATACACATCAAATAATTGTACATCATGCATGAGTGCAGGTTTTATTAGGAATTTTACTAAATGAACCGCTCTGAGCTTACATCACCACCCCATACTATACAATACAACAATTATTTTTAAAATCGGTTTCGTGTATCTTGACAGGTACACAAAACTGAGGTATTGTTTTTTACGGAACAAATATAAAAAATAAAAAATAAGACATAAAATTTGCCAATTAATTATTCACCATTTAATTTTCTTGTGATTTCTCTTTATTTTAAGATTTGCAATGTACAATTTTTTAAACAGTTTATTCATTAAGATGGCTTTGAATTAAGCTTGCATAATATATTTACTAATTTCCACCTTGTGTATTAAATATTAATTTTAAGCCTTCTATATATATTAAAAAACCTATTGTGGAAATACAGATAAGTAACATGTATTCACGTCCGCAATAAATGTAAATACATCAATTTTGAAAGGGATGAAAATACAGAACATTTAAAACATTGGGTAAGTTGTAAATTAGGGGAGGGGGAGATGGAGTGTGACGTCATTTTAGGGGAGGGTCTGACGTTTTGTGACCATGTGTGACGTAGGGGGAAAAGGGGGTAAAAAAAATGACCAAATAAACGTGACGTCATTTATGGTCGACCCCTATGTTATTGTAAGGAATGAACGAGGGTGCAAGGGAAGCGACTGGTCGAGTGGCAGCGGGTATGTTGTGAGCGGGAGAAAGGAGTAGTGTAGGTATAATTTAGGGAGGACAGTTACAGGTTGGAGCAAGAAGGCTAAGATCGATGTGAAGCGAAATAGATGAGATTAAACTTGATTGGTATACCTGACCCTTACGAGTTTGTTGGTGTATCGTATACCTGAGTGTGCAAGACCCCTCACTCCCTCACACTCGCTATTATTTTATGATCATTGTACATTTAACATGTTTAAGGAGTAGAGATTATTTCAAACCAAACATCATTTTATCAACTTAATTTTATAAACACTCAACGACTAGGAAAGGAAACATTATTTAATTCGTAATACAATTAACTTTTATAATAATTATTTACACTATTGTTTGTTTCAAATTATCGTTAGTTTTTTTCTAAATTATCCTTTCAGACCTTACTATCAGTTGGGTAGGTGAAATAGAGTTAATCTTCTGCAGATGGAGAAACAGTATATATAGAACAATGTCCAATCGCCTTTATTTACCTGAGTCACGAACACATCAGAGTGGTAAGACTTAGGGACTCCCCTGGAATTGAACTCGAGACTTTCGCGTTAGCAGTCTTATATTGTATGCTATTCTTTAAAAACTTTTTCAACGTTTAGTATGTAGTTTGTGTTTTTGCATGTATAATGTCTGTTTATATCTATCTGTATTTCACTTATGCTTATTGTTACAATCGGCTTCGTAAGTATACACAAAACCGCACCTGCGCTGAAGCCTATGCCGTATGTAAAACAGTGTTGCTTGTCATTTATAAACCCACATGGTATTTAGGTCTTTTTATCTGTGTTAATACCAGGCGCTCTTGATCCTTATTAATGTCACAACTATTTATAGCTTGAGCTAACATCCTTGTCAGGTTGTAAAATGGAAATTCCATCGATAAAAAATTTCGATGACGTGTGTCTCTTAAGTAATTATGTGTGTGATTGTGTGTAAAAGTGTTTGTTTGTGTATGTTTGACGTGCATTTTTTGAGAATGTATGTCACGGTGGGAGTGCTTTAGTGTTTGTATATGTTAATAATGTTTAATAGCTGTATACATATTTACTTAATTTAATTTCCTTCAACAAATGTCTTTCTGTATATGTGTGTTAATAATTGTGATTGCAAGTATGTCAGTCTATGTGTGCAAAGAGTTGGGGTAGATATAAAAGAAGACAAATCGTTCGTGTTTCTCAAATACATATTTATTTACATACACCGATATTTTCTAAAAGCGGTTTACCATTTTGTTAAAATGTACAGGTGATGCCAAGCGGAACTGCTGCTTAAAGTATACTATCTGAAAAATCTTGACGTTTCTACGAGAGTAAACATTTAGCGTGAACCACAGCTCACCAGACCATGTGGGGATGGGGGTGGTAGGGATATGCCTAGAGAGAAAGACAGGGGGCTGCTAGGCACGCTTACAGCCTGGTGTTTTCTATGGTATCGAAGAAGAGAATTATATATATGTATAGAAGATTACGCTGTTATGAAATATATTTCGAAACAATTAACTAAGTTGTATACATTTGCATGATTACAATTTATATTTTACTAGCGTACCCGTCTGTCGAAATATATTAGAAGGATATCACCAATGCATTACCAATCATATGTTCTTAGACGCGTTACCTTGTTTTCTAAAACTGTTATTTAAATGTTAACAATGCCTGCGCTTGGATAAAAATTATCGGGACACGAGTTTTCCTACACTACCGCATGAAAACCTTGAGTGTATATTAATCACTCACCGAAATAATGAGGTAGAACACACTTCGGTGACCACCCATATGTCAGGGACGTAGAGGGGCGCTCTCAGGAGCCCCCACCCCCCGATTACACTACCGCAGAGGCGCAGCGTACGGCCCCTGGCTCCTTAAAACTAACAGGCGCCATCGTGCTCATAGGATAACCCAGCGTGCCAAAATAGCATCCTGTAAACAATGATGCAGATTTTGTCATTCACTAAAGTGACACAAATGAACAAGATTTTTATTTGACGTGTTTTAAACATCAGTTTGACTGATGCAATATGCTAGCGTTACTAATGGTCTATTATTAGATGCTCGATCTCAATTTCGGACTGGATCGTCTATTAATAGATGCTTATTGCAGTAGGCTCCTCATATTCAAAAAGTTATTTTTTCATCTTTCGCAAGGTTACGAAACTGTACAGGATTTCCTCGCGTTACAAAGTTATTTTTAGAAGCCTGTTTTAGTTTTACTGCTGAATATAGTAGTATCCCTTACTCGCTATGCCGGACGCTCGATTAACGGATGCCAAGTGCCAACATAGTCGCTCTAAAACTCTGGGCGCCAAACCGTTTATTGACGAAAGTTGTACCCTACATGGCGCCGCCCATAAGAAACTTTAGTTTTCTTTTTCGCAGAAATATTCTCGGGAGTATTCTCATCTACTCCTTAAAGTTTCAACGCACTCGGATGAACCGCATCCGAGTTTTATTTTTTATATACGGTGTATAGAGAAACAAATCGCTCCCCCGGGGGCACCGCCCTTGCAATATTAAAACATAATTTTTTTGCAGAACCCTACCATTGAGTGATCTAAACATCTCCCCAAAGTTTCATGGTACACGGATGACAGTGTGAAACCGAAATAGACATTTATTTTTATAAACCGTATATAGAGACAAAACAAATCGCGCCCTGCCGGGGCGCTACCCCTGCGAATTTGAAAATGATTTTAGCGCAGAAACTTTTCCATAAATATTTTCAACATATTTCCAAAGTTTCATGGCGATCGTGTAAACGGTGTCACGGCAATTCACTTTTATTATTTTTATATACGGTATATAAAGAAAAATCGCACCCTCCCGTGGCGCCGCCCTTGTGAAATTAAAAATGATTTTTTTACAGAACCCGTCCTTAAAGTGTTCTAATGAACTCACCAAAGTTTATTAGCGATTACATGAATGGTGTCAAACCAAAATCGACTTTTATTTTTATATAACGTATATAGAGAAAAACAAATCGCGCCCTGCCGGGTCGCCACCCCTGCGAATTTGATTTTTTTTTTTCGCAGAAACCTCCCCAGGAATATTCTCAACAACTTCCCAAAGTTTCACGGCGATGTTATAAGTGGTGTGGTAATGCATAAAAGACACACACACACAGACACACATACATTGCTTTATATATATATAGATTAATAAGAGCGAGTGCCGTGAGCCTATTTCAAATCATGTATCGCTTTTATTTCAACGTGTTGCGTTCTAAAGAATGTAGGCCAGTTTAAAAGTAAACAGTTTAAATCCTGTTAAAGGGACGTTATAACTGTGGAGTGGGCTTTTTTTTTTTTTTTTTTGGCTCATCAGAGTATTTGTGAATAGCTCATTGATATTTTGTCTGGAAAAGTGTCATTAAGATCTTCTATCCATACATTTAAAGTATTTTTTCCCAATCATTGATATTGTTGTTTTGATGTTTTAAACATTTTTTAAATAAAATTTAATGTCTTGATCTAATGTGCCTTTAATACAACGTTTAAATAAAAAAATTTAAAAAAAATGTTTTTAATTACATTTTCTTAACAACTTCCAGATACATAAAAATAGAAGGACTAAGATACATTATTTAAAATGAAAAATAGGTTTATGGAAATGATAACAAAAGAGTGTGCTATTCAGATGTTTGTCATTGTGAATAACTCAAAACGTCGCACCAAATTGTATTCTTTAAAAATGTAAGAATTTAAAATTGAATTTTAAAAAGTTAAATAGTGAATTAAAGAAATCATATATCAGAATTAATATTATTTTGTAAAAAAATGTAAATAAATAATTTTGATAATAAATCATGAAGTATATTTTCGGATTAATAATTTGTATTTATGATTTTTAATAGCTAAAAAAAGAAGAAAAAGCATAATTGAATAGGAAAAAACTATCCCCATATTTTAAACATTAAAATGTTTAAAACATTTATAATATTACTAAAAAATTAAATGTTTAATGGAAATTTAGATAGCATACCTGATGACTAGGTAATAAAAATAATAATAATAATAATGAATGATACAGTATATGTTTTTTTCCTCGAAATTTGTAACAGTATATTTCATTTTAAAACGTAATTGTCACCTTTGCGCTATGGTTAAGACTAATAACTGATTTTTAGTTAATAAGAATAGACAATTATTGGCTATTAAATTATATTAATGACACTATTTCTCCTGAAATCCTTCCCCACT